ACTGTCTTGATCGTGACGAACAGAAAAAATATCGGAAACAGTGTATTTTTCCGGCAATCGTGCGCGCCGCGAGCTGAGCCAGAACCGCACGATGATTCTTGAACCGATCGCTTCAACTATTCGGCACCGACTGATCGAGCCATTCACTGCTGTCAGTGTTTCACATCTTTGGGAAGATGTGAGTAAGTACTTACGTTCCGAAGTACAATATATAATGACTCAGGTGTATCTGTGAGGCGAAGAAAACGATTAAGTGTAATCGTTACTACGTGGTTCCAGATAATCGGCAATTATTCTTTATTCATCCTCCATATATACAGCATGATAATGACACTCGATAATCGTTTATGTTTACCAACGAAAGATTTATTTTTCGTTCCATTTTTAACTTCGATTAAAGCTTTCACAGTCTTTATTTATAATTTACAATTTATGTTTATAGTTATTTACAAGTTTATGTGATAATGCTCTTCCCAACCGGATGATCAATCTGAATATAATTTTTTCCTTTAATCTGGCGAATGATTCGGCGAAACAACTTGCGTGGAAAAATATCTGCAATTTAGCGATCAACAGAATAATATCCGAAAAAGGCGTTTAAAGGAACTGTCATCTTTTTCGAATTTTATTTATGAATGAAATATAATAGCTAATAAATAACTGTTCTGTTATCGGAATGTACCTTAACATAGTTACGAATAGGCTAGAGATATTATGCAATTACTTTTGTCAATTATTGTTTTGATACGTATAACTGTTTTTTTGTTGTAATATTAGAGAGCTTTTGTTAAGTCTTACAGTTAATATCTTCTTATACTTTCTCAGCTGTAGTTATAGTTTTGTTATAGATATCTTTAATGCTTCACGTTTATTTATATGCATTCGTTTTCCATAATTTCTTGTTCAGTACGTAGATAGTTGTAATTGGTTTTGCGTTATTACAACAAGAAATTCATTTTCTCCAGTTTCGTTGTCTTTTCATTCTCACGGTAAAAGAACATAAATATTGAAATAACCGTTCTCTTTTTTAAAACAGTAAAAAAACTCGTTCACGATTCTTTCTCTCATAATAAACCAATTCTAAAAACATTGTTATGTTCGATTTGTTTCGCAATGCACCCGTTATTAACAAAAAAATGGCTACGTAAAGTAGACCACTTATTCATTCTGTTATATAAGACAAGATCATCCTTTGCGCTGAAAAGTAAATACTTCCGCGTTATCTTAACAGAGGAAGAAATACAACAAAATTTGAACTAATTCCGTTTCGTAAACAGAATTTACGAAACGCATGCACAAAAAGTATTTGCGAAGTCTGCATACAGTCGAATAATGACCATGAAGCGATTAAAATATTCGTACATTTTGCACGTTGTACATAAACATGAGGAATGTAATTAAATTTTGTAAGCATATTGAATGTATTTATTCCATAATATTCCGTTGTAATATCTTGCTGTAAAAAATACTTTAATCGCCTTCGTTAAAATTTTGATTCCACTTGGAAACTTACAGATCCTAATCTTTCCTGATGCAATTTTCTATAACTTAATTTGTAATGGTTTATACTTGCATTATAGTACGAACGGATTACAACGCATCTAATTTACAACAAAAATGTACAAACAACGATAAAACAAAAATGCGGACATACTAGAATAAAATACGTATTTTTTTTTTAATTTAAACGAACATTTAAAAAATTACAAATCCTGTAAAATAAGAAAGATGTATTAAATAATAGTTTCTGGACCACAATATCTTATATCAGTCGGTCCTACTTCATGCTGTATAACCAAAAAAATCAAATCCTAATTTCAAATCTCGATACGCACCATAGAATGACTTTCACTTGAGGTTCTAATGTTCAAGATCACCACCGCACCGTATTTGCGTTCGCCTAATCTCAGTATCTGCGTTTGATAATGTCCTTTCGGTTACGAGGACGTTCTATGACTGTCTAATATACAAAGGAATGGACGTGTGGTTGGAGTACAAATACATTGCGTTCCTTATAGTCAAGGACATTCTAATATGAAAAATGAATTAGCAAGATGCGACAGTCACGAATCTTCATCAGCACACTGAATATAATTTCTTACAAATTTCTTTCACGTCTAACAATGATAAACCATTGTAAGATGGAAAATGATATACGGTCAAAATTTATCAATTTTTTATTTATTCATAATATTTAGAATCTACATAAAGGGCATTAACAAAAGAAACAGTTGTAAGAGAAATTTTTAGATCAAGATGCATTATATTCCTATCTAATCATGAATGATAATTTTCTTTGAAAAAAGAGAAAAATGTCAAACACCTAGGGCCCAGAAAAAATGGATAGTTTTAAACCTAACCTTAAATGACATTTCGTTTATTAGGCTCATCGTTACATGTTCAGACATTGTACAAAAGTAAGGAATGGCAATAAAACAAGAAGAAACATATTCTTAATTACATTTCCTCCCTAAAGATTGATTGTTGGTCGATATTCAAAATCTTCAACTAAATAATGAAATTTGAACATCGACTTTAATTAATAACAAATAGAATTTTTGATTTAATCCATTCTAATCCCCATTGTTATGTAAAGGGCTGTAACTTGGAAAAGGCAGAATTGTTATTTTATTGAAATAGATTGTTTCATCTAGAACATTTCACGCAAACCGTAAACAAGTTGTTTAAATCAATTTCCTTAATCTGTAAAAAGAAAAAAGAACGTTCATCGCAACGACGCCATAAACGACTGACAACTTTTTTTCTTAATACATGCGATTAAAAATTATTTATTTAAGTTTATATATTTATAGACTAATTACAATTGTAGTTACAAACAAATTTTTCAAGTAGATTGTCCAATTAATTCCATTTATTTCTAATTTTATTTATTACTCATTAATTTATATACATTTCTTATCTAACCTACATTTTTTAGATCCGTATACACGAACATATTTCGCATTTACGGTGACATTGTATACGTATACAGTGAGCGTTATTATGCAAGCATGTAAACATTTATGTAGTAAAAGGCTGATTGTCAGTATGAGTTTCTAGCGGGTATCAGTGATTCGGTAAGTAACACGTGAGTGATGTGTTCAAATTGTCTAATGTAGTCCTTGAATGGAATCGAATGATTATAATCAATGTAGATTTCAATTGCGATATCGATGACGACGATTCATTATCAATCGGAACTGTAAGAAATTAACGTGACTGTTGATGATAATGTGTTTGCGTATCGGAATCACGTTTTTGCCACGAATACTGTATGTGCAACACACCAACAGTAGTTGCAATTTATATACAGTTACGTTGAATGTTTAGAAAAACGTTAATGTAAGAGTAAATATGTGAAATTTAATTTTATTATTCTTGTAAAATAATGTGACTCCTTAATTTTTGTTTAGTACGTCACTTAATTATTTAATTTAGTTATTATGTTCTGTTAATTTTTTTATTTGGAAGTTTTATTCACCGAACATATATTTTCCTCAGCTTCTTCTGCTCCCAACTTTTCGAAAAAATACAAATATAGCATACCACTACAAGTATGATGATAAAGTTGGATAGGTGTTTTAAAATGGTAAAATAATGTATATGTACCGTTTGGTACGTTTTTTTATATAAAAATCATTTCATTGACAGATAAGATGCTAATAATCAAAATATAGTTAAAAACGAATAATAATACCATAAATACAGATTGTAGTTAAGAAAATCACAGTTTACTTTTTGCAATCAGCTAACAGTAATCTATCGATAACGAACATGGTCTGATCCTGAGTGCTATTAAATGATCAGTATTAAAGTTGCATAATATTAACAAACAATATTCATGTTCTGATAAAATCTACTTTTACAATATTATTATATCGTAATATTACGATATTATTTACTATTTAAAAAAGGTTATATAAATGAATTTAAAAATGTCTTTGTTGCAAATATTTAATCTCTGATGCTATCACTAAATGTTTTATTACATAATTACTAACGGAAGTGCATATTTAGTTAAAAAAAGTAATATGAGACCTATTTAAAAAATAAATATTCTTATATACTTACTTATTGGAATAATTGTAATAGTTTATTTAATTGCACATGTGATTAAAAACTAATTGCATCAAAGGAATAGTGATTATTGGTGAAATAAATAATATTATATATTATATTATTAAAACATCTGTGTCTTCTATGTTTAATCTATTATTGATGGAAAATTTTTTTGTCGGCGATAATATTTAATTCAATGTAAATGTGCGTGATGTGCATGAATTTTGAAAAGAGCAGTACGATTGAGTACGCGTGGGACTGATAATGCCTTTTCCCGCAGACTTATCAACAGCATCATGCGATACATACGACTCACGTTATCCGTTCGTAACATCGAGCTTCTATACGATCGTAAATAATATCCGCACAATCATTGTCCTTTCCTATCTGAACACTGAGACTGTTTACCTATAACGACTATATGATTAATTCTTTCCTAAGAATGATTTTTCTTTATTTACAAATAAATGAAGATACGCAATAAATATTTGTATTATGTAGTTTTAATAATTACATTTTCTCCGTCAATAATCCAATAGCAAAAGAATTTGAATTTCTGTGAACTAACAAAATTCCTTTCGTATAAAAACGTTTAGAATTAAATTATGTAACAGACCTACTTTTAACAGTGACTTGCAACGAGTTACTCATAGCATTGAGAATATTGTGTAAGTACAATGTGTGTAATCAGTAAAAGAAAGGTCTATGTAAAATAGGAATTAGTCGTCAGTTTTAAGTACCAATTGGACAAATTAAAGAAAGTCATAAATACATAAAAACGATATATTATTATTTAAGAAGTTAGAAAGTGGTTTTGAGAAAATGTATTTAATACAAAACAAGTATATTTCATAGCATAAATACATGAAAAAATGATGTAAAACTTTTTATGATAATTGTTTGTTTGTTGATTGTCTTTTATGAAATGAAAGAAAAATTCATTGTACGTTTTTATCGTGCACATATCGGAAGTGTACAAACACTAAATATTTAGAAATAATTAAAATACGTATACAATAAAAAAGTTCACTGTAAGAATTATCGGTACTAAAGTATGTCAGAAAGATATAAATGTAGATAGTTATTAAAAAATACAACACTTACTCCTAGTTTTGTCCATCGTTGATATATAATAATACGAAAGATAAAATTTTCAATTAGTAATGTTATAGATCGTTTTAAAAGCAACTTAGAGTTTCCAGGAGCGTTAAACTGGACTTTGCAAGTAGTCTTCAAACTATCGTCAAAGAATAATGTCGTAGATGGTTTCCTCTTATAGAATTGAGGTTAAGTGTAAAAAAGTGAAGTGTCAGTATACGCTCAACACTAATCAACTTGGTCTTTTACAATTCTGTTCATAAAAACTTCACTTCTTCGAGGTCCCTGTTTCCCCCCATTTAGACCAACCAGATTTTATATATAAGATCTGTGACTCTGTACTATTTATTACGATTCCTAATTTAATATAAACAGTTATATTTTTTAAAAGATATATATTATAATAATAATAATAATAGTTAATAATAGTGTATATATTATACATATATTTATATATACATTAATGAGTATTGATATTAATGATATATACATTAATATTAGTTATATTAGTAATATATTTAATATTACAGTGAAAGAATATTATACATTTCTCTACAATTATTTCATACACATTAATGTGGATAAGTAAAAAATGTATTTGTGACTACAGTTCAGAACGATTGATGATAAAAGCATCTATTACGGAAAATTTTTCTTCTTAAATATTACAAAAAGTAATTTGGTTCGGTAAAATAACATATTAAAAAATACTTTATACATAATATCTTATATACTTTACAATGATTTGTAATATGAGTTATATATATCTGATTTTCAAGTTTTAATGTTTCTTAACCTCAAATCACTAATACCATTTTTTGTCCTTAGAAAATGAGACAGACAACTGCATTGTGGAAAAGAATTCCACAATCCGAAAAAAAAGTACCGTTTCGAGCATATAAGCCTTTAGTTTTGAATGATTATGTTAAAGGAGGAGGAAGTGCAGCGACTGGTATATATTTGGTTTGATCAATATAAATAAATATTTTGAACTGATAATATTGTTTTCACGTTTTAGAAAAAAATTGTTTATATGAAATATCGCTACTGTTCAATTGTTTGCAAGATAATGATTTTGACGACAAATCTTGTGGAGAGCAGATAAAAAATTTTAATTCATGTGTGCAAAATTATAAGCAGACTAAATGTACACAAAAGAAATCACGATTACTTAAGATGCCTGAACCTGGTAGTAACACGTACACAAGTGGACAGCTTACTTATCTTTTAAAAAAATATCCAAACATTTAAGAAATTATAAGAAACATTATATCATTATTATATGTAAAATATATTTATAGTAGTATAATTTTTAGCTAATTTTTTAAATCAAACTTCCAATTCTTTTGTAACATATTTGTGGACAGTAAATGTTTTAATGAGCTATAAAAATAGTAAGTACTGAGTTGCAGTACTCTGAGGGTGAAAGTAGGTAATAATTTCAAAAAATTAAAACTATATAGAATTAAATGTATGATAATTTGACTTAGAAATTTGAATGTTATAGCACTCATGTCATTTTATATCACAATGAAAATAAAGGCTATAGTATTCACATCCGTGCATATGTTAAGATACTTTTAATTAAATTATCATTACTTAGTACATTATAAAATAAAATTATGAAACAGTAAGAAATACATTATAAAGAATTTTCCATTTTACTCTGTTTATTTTGTTGAGACTGTACACGTTTTAAAGCCAATCGTGCAGAGTAACCTGTGTATACAAATAAATAAAATTAATTTGAATTTTTGTTCTATAATACAAGTTGATTCAAATTAGTTGTACATACGAATGGAATGATTGGTATTACAAATGGTTGTAACTTCCTGGATAGTATTTAGTTGATGTTCAATGCGTTTTAATGCCTTATAGTTTTCTATCTGTTCATCTCTATAACGGTGGTATGTACAGAACAACGTAATTATACATAAACCAAGAGCTATTTTTCTGTACATCCATGTTGTGCTCACTAAACTTTCCTAAATTAAGTAATAACAATCTTATTTATTTCTTAAGTTCAAATTTACAACACATATAAAAAGCCTGTTTTGTATTACCTTATTATCTTCTGAATGAAACATAGTATTGCCATAATATTGAACTAACATGCGTTCCATTATAACATTTACACTCAAAATTATAAAAAGCGTTATTCTAGCATTTGTTGTCCTTTTAGAAGAACTAAATAGTGCACACAAAATACAACTAATAGTGTAATACATAATGGATTGAAACCATGAAACTTCACCAATAATCCAATTTTGAAAAGTGCGTAGATATGAAAATATTTCAAACAATAATTCTTTTTGATCTTTTGCTGTTTCTCTGCAAATAATAATAATTTTTAATTTTTGTAATAATAAATTAAAAACGTAAAACTAAATACGCAAAATTATTATTATAGTTAGCAATTATTGGAACACAAGTATTGTTCGCAAATATGTATAAAAACCAAATAAAATAAATTACCATCTATATAGATTAAATTCTTACATAATTGACAATGTCAGTAACATGATCCCTCAAAGCTTAAAGTATTTCATTAAAATAAATGTTTACTTACTTGAAATCTTTTACCATATTATTAACACTCTCAGATGAAGACTTCAATACTACACCAAGTTCTTTTCCATGATCTAAGAGTTTATTTTGCATTTTTAAACTTTCCTTTTGACTTTCTAACATAACTTCCTGTACTTCTGAAGCTTCTAGTAATTGATCTTTCATTCTTGTGGAAACTTGATGTAATCTAATCATATTAAGTATATGTTACTTTAAAATGTAGTTTTAGTATTTACACAAAACTTACTGTTTAATGGTGTTATCAGTTTGAGCTTGCCAAACTTCATAATTTAGATAAAAGCACATATGTGTAGTATGTATATAAAATTCATTATATGCATTAAATGCTCTATCTGACATATTATTGATGCAATCTCTGCAAAATCAAGAAACATTACGTTAGAATCTGTTAATTCAAGAATATAATTAATATACATAATTTACCTTCTTTGCATATCTGAATTACTGAAATGACAATCATAAGTTGTATGTCCTGAATCTTCTAAAAAACAATTCATCAGTTTTAGGGCAAGAAGAGAATGCTCTTCATCATTTAAATTATTACAAGTACTTTTCATTGTTGTCAAAGCATTATGCCAACAAGTTCCATGCAATACAGAAGATTTTGCTGAAAGAATTTTATCACATAAGTACTTAAACGTAAAAACTGTTTTTTGTAATGCTAATGGAATGATATATACTTTTTATTATTTGATAATGTTTTTCTCCTGTTTCTTTCAATATTCTACTTCCATCGATTGCAAATGAATAAAAGACCGGGAAAAATATTAAACGAATCATCGTGTGTAACTTAATTGGTTATTTTAAATATGCACACTAACTTTTGAATTTCAGTTATACATTTGGAAAAAACTTTACTAAATTTTCGCATTATCAAACACACAGATATTTTTTATTTATACACAAGTATTATTTATCGTAATTTGAATAAGTAGTATTTGTAAGTCGAATTTTAAAAATATTCATTAAACGAGTGTCACAAACAATGAACAAAATACTTTTATTGAAACAAAAACAACTATACCACTTGTAATGCACGAAATTTACTGTTGTTGTGTTCGAAGCACTCAAATTTAAATTTACGTTACAGTTTATGCACAAAAAGTCGGTACATGTGACCAATGCGCGCGTCGATTTAGAATCTAGAAACACCAGACAGCACTATGGCGGATTTTCAAGCACGTTAATATTATGGGTTAATTATCGAGAGTATTAATGAGAGAGATATCTGCTCCATCCGTCGATATAAAAATATTGAATGAATTATTTTTGAACAAATCATTTAACTAACATTTGTTCTCATCTCAAATAAAGTCTTCTCATTCGAGCATAGAATATTCAATCACATGAAACAGTTTCTGATTCTTGCGCCATCTAGTCATCTGCTTCATTACTACATTTAAACAATCCAACAAGGGAATAGCCGTCATTTAACTACATTATCTTTTTTTTTAAAGAAATCTATGTATAAATATATATATATAGTAAGAATAGTAAGAACATACAACAGATGATTTCTATCATATCAATCATTTCATTTCATTATCATCATATCATTTACTAATAAATTAAGAATGAAAATTAAATTAAAAATCGATTTTAGATGCAGACATTACTTGAATACCTGCAAATAATCTACTTTATTCATTTTTCTTGTTTATAAATAAGTAATAGCCGACTTAAGAATATTTTATAATAAATTGAGACTAATGATGAAACTGGAAGCTGACACCGATCAACTTCTGAGCAAACAAACAAAATTTAATTGGATTATTTTAGTGACTGGTTTATAGTTCCTGGTTATTTTTAAATAATAAAAGGATCCTTTCAAAATTAACAACGCCGGTGGGTGCTTTCTACGTGACTTCCAAAAGGGTTGTAAAAAGACAACGTGCAACTGGAGCGTTGCTGGCAACCGGCCAGCCACTTTTGCCATTGAATTCGGACGGAGCGAAAATAAGTGGCCGGTACCGAGATAGGAACAGTGACACAGGTTCGATCTCCTCGTTCCCATCTTGAAGACCGGTTTATCCTCCGACGAACATCGAAACAGTTCACGGGATCATTGTTCGTACGAGCTCTCCTCGGAGATGCTCGCATAGAGGAAAAGCCAGCCCCGTTAACACGAGCTCTTGATGATTAAGCATTTTATGGGAGACGATTCTATCGATAATCTTCGTTAGCTCGATATTATGCGCCGATAAAAAAGTTGTACAGTCGTTTGTTAAAAAGTTTAGTCGAATTACGGGGACAAAGGAGTAATATCTTAGGGCAGCATCGGTTAGTTCATTTTATCCTGATCATATGTCGATTACTACATTATCTTTGCGATTGAAAAAATTGATGTATTAAATTATATTGGAAATTTGATTTTCTGGCAATGTACAGTTACGAAACGTATGCCAATCGAAAGAGTAATTAAAAAATTTCAGGACTGTGTAGAAATTTAGTTGAGTTCAATTTACATGTACTAAATTTTTTATCCTAAGTTCTATATTCTATATTGTGAATTCTAAATTCAAATGATACATATTCTACTCATTATCACTAGAACTTTTAAATGCACAGAAACCTGTACCATCGATACTTACATCCTCTCAACCCTGAGTTGCTTAGGTTCACAGTGTTTAGTAGCTCTATACTATTAACACTCCTTTTTTCTCATTAGGAGACTCCCTGGTGATCTTTATCCGAGGATCTCTTGAACCAAATACCCTTACTGCTTAGCGATAGTGCCACCAATATTCTTCCTTTCTCACCACTGAAAATGAGTCATTTACTTTCATAGTCCTTAACAACCCTGCACCAACAACATTCTCTTCTTCTTATTGCTAGACCATTAAGATACCCAGGTTACTAGAGGTTCTCCAAACAATAATATTTTCATTTTCTCCTCGCTGGGTCACTCGATTTTGTAGTTCTCAGCATTATCATTCTTCTACAATCAATACCCTGCGTCTTGTTAGAAGGCTGCCTGGAGATCTTTCACCGAGGGCCACTTGATCCCGATGTACATATCTCCATGTGTCAGCGCAGGTATCTCCAATCCGCGACTTCACCAAGTTTAATGTTTTCTATACTATGCCGATGTAAGAATCAGTTTTCACAAAATCTAAATCATAAAATATCTGTTTTTATTTGAAAATTGTATCTCTCTTGGAAACCCTTATATTGATCTTATCTTTGAAGAACCGAAAAGTTTCGGTAAACCTTATCGTGTCTAAAGTGTCTGACACATAAAGTAGTTCTGTCTTTAGGGATAGAATCCGACATTTGCACATTATATTTATTTTACTCTATTAAGTCTATCTTATACATTCATCGATTAATTTGCCTTTGTCTTCGTTTCCTTTTCTTACTGTTATTATAGGTATATTTACTTGTTAGCTACTGTAACTGGATTCTACATTGTTTATTATCTCATTACAAACATTTTGTCCGGTTTTGTGTAACAACCACAGTAATATTGTTATTCTTATATCTTATCAGGATGATTACGGATCCTTAAGATTTCATTTTCATTTCAATTTCATTTAGAAATCAGAAACAATATTATTGGGGCACCCCATATTGTTCACGTGGATGTAGGGGATCGGAACGAGGGGATGATCAATCGATCACCGGCACACTGGCGATTTGCCGAAGTGCACGGGAGCGAATCATCCACGCCTAGGCAGCTTGACGTCAGCCTCGTAAACCGCGCGCATCGCATCGCATCGCATTGCATCGGCCGGATTAAAAATAAATGCGACCCGGAAAAGCGGTGAATGCCGGATAATTGCAATCCGATCTATTCCAGTATCCCGTTTCCTCTCGAGGCCGCAGAGGTCCCTGCCAGGCTCGGCATTGTTGCGCCAGGCCCGGCCTGGCCCGCAAAATCGTCACGCATCGCGATTAGGGTTGAAAGCAAGTAACCCAAAGCCTGATGTAACGACGCGTGTTTTAACGATTAACTCTTTATATTCTTTTACTGAGTATGACTCGACGTGATTCTTTCGCAGATGCGTAGGCAATCAAAATATTTACGGCTATACTAAATTTAGTATTACAATATTTTTGAATAAATCTTTTTGTGACAAATTGGAAAGAAGGAAATATAAAAAATAGGTAATCGATTATCTGCACGAGGGTGAAAATATATTTAACATTTCTTAATTGTATCTGTTATGTTCAATATAATTAACAGAAAAAATTGTTTGTATTACTTTCGATCAATCAGCTGTCCTTTGAAGCATATTTCAATCGGAACACTCGAAATAATTGGAGTCATTGGGGAGGAAATTTAAAAACATTCCAGCTGCAAAGCTTTAACGATTCGTTTACCGACGACTGCGATTGCCGGCGTGGTAACCGGAGACGGGCGTCGTTGCTGTAATTAATTAACCCTCGAATCTCACGCTGAAGAATCGGATCGCTGGCAATCCGATAGCGCGGCGCATCATTAAATTACAACGGGTGATCGTCGATGACGAAGGTCGAAATGATGAATCAACTATGGAGGCCTGCTATCATGCCTTTCGATACGGTGCCGCCGCGTGAGCGCATAAATTCATCGGGGGTTCGTGCACTGGACACCGCATCGGAAATAGGACACCAGAAGATACGCATCTAACCGTTGCTTTAATGAGGTATGCGAATTAATAATCTTAAGGTGAAAAATATACGAAATGGAAAAGCTTTTGCACGAGAGAAATTTTATTTGTTTCTCTTGCAGAATGTTTCAGTGTTTGTTGGACGATTCTCAAGCTGATTAAAGTAATAGAAACCTTTCTTTCATGGGTATTCCTTATTGCCCGTTTTAAATCGTTGAAATGTTCTAATTACAAATATAATTTTATTTTTCCATGTAATTAGATTATAATTTTGTGAAAATCTGGGAAGCATCAAAGGACTACGTCTAATTCAATAATTCGCTCGTTTTTGAATTTGCAAAGGAATGTTAATTTCAATGTTCACCTATTATTTACACGATAAAATATTATGTATTTATATTATTTGCTTACATGACAGTTAAATGCGAATGAAACCGAGAAACTTATCAAAAAGTTGTCGAATTATAATAAAACTGAAAATGTGCAGGTTAAATTAACATAAGTTAGATATCAATTTCAAAGCTTAACAAGCTTAAATAAAGCTTGAACAATCTAAGAAAATTAAACATTTTCCACCGGCCTGCATTATCTTGAACGACGAATCAATGAGCTAAAATTAATTAATTGATAGCATAATGAACATACCTGGTTTCTCAATCGGATGATCTGTGTTTACGTTAAGCTGTCGTCGTTGATTGCCTGTCAGGTACGATAATTATTATCCAGTCGTTCACACTAGAAAGGGGATGGGAGGCGGACTGGATAGAAAGCTATCCATCTTGGGTATAAAGCTGAGAGATCATTTGACGGCTGGGCTGGGAAATGCGAGTCTGACTGATCAGTTTTCACTTATTCTCATTTTATTCTCAATACTAATTTACTATTCCTCACTACGGTTACACGTAACCAATGAAAATTATAAACAGGACACTCAATGTTAGCGAAAGACTTCTCTTGCTCCTGTGCTACCTTGCTAGACATCAAGTTAACTCCCAACATTACATATTCTGCGTCACTAATGAGAATGCTAGCAAAAGGAATGCGAGTCTTCTAATTGATCAATTTTCATCTATTCTCATCTCATTTTCAATGCTAATTCGGTATTCGCCGATACGGTTACAGGTAACCAATTAAAACTATAAACAAGACACTTAGCGAAAAAGGCTTTTGTCTCTATGCTGTTTAGCTAGACATCGAGTCATCGCCCAACGATACGAATGAAGTGCAGGAAGGAACCGGAAATGGATAGGTGTCGAGGCGACGAACATTGAGAAATTGCGAGTAATATTTGGAACCGCGAGTCTGTTGATTTATGCCTCTATCAAACGATGGGAGGACGTTTCGGGTGTGTAATTCTCGGACAAACAACTTTACCGTTTGCCTCTGCGATAGAGACGATTGTTTTTGATTTCTCCAATGCCAACGCAGCAGCATTCGTTGCGACGAGTCTTCGAAGTCCCCGCGATTTCCGCGATCCCACCGGTGCCGATTCTCAAACGGAAATTTCCGTCAGCGATATGTACGTCGACGTCGATCCAATGTTTTGGCAGCAAGCCCGCATTTCTCTCTCCAGATGTCATGGTGCATCCGACGCCGCGTCTTCCCACTATCATGACACTTTCTGCTTTTTATTCAT